CGTAAGGCTTAAGTGACTTTCCCGATCCCGTACCTCAAGGGGACGCGATATAGAGACGAGACGATATTCCCCCCTGACACGTGTGGAGAACCTCAGAGGAGAAGAACTTCCCCCCTGATACTACCAGTGAAACATAATGTCAAAAAAAAAAACATAATGTCAGTCAGTCTACTGATTCTAAAAAGTAGCAGGCGTAATTGTCTTTGTCAAAATTCATTTCATTTGAAATGTTTAACACTTGAGGGCAGTGTATTGCTGACGTCTTTATCATATAGTGACATAAAGTTAATAATTAACAAATGATGATGTAATGATTTACATCTCATCCATTCATTTGCATAAACAAATATTGCCACAAAACATATTTTGCATTGTTCTGTTTGTCGAGCAAAATGCGTCCGCCAGCAATAGATTACATCAGACAATCGAACTGGATTGCATTTTTCAGAAACTGATCAGCACAACTTTGTGAAATTATTCGCTACAATCATGTTTATTTTGGTTCATGGCAGAATTGTGGATTGTTCTATTGCTCAATTAGTAATGTATAAATTAGTAAAACTGGATCAATTAGTAATTTATCAATTATTATAACTGGATCAATTAGTAATGTATCAACTAGTAAAACTGGCTAAATTAGTAATGTATAAATTAGTAAAACTTGACCAATTAGTATTGTATCAATTAGTATAACTGGATCAATTAGTAATGTATAAATTAGTAAAACTAAATTACCAATTAGTAATTTATCAATTAGTATAACTGGATCAATTAGTAATGTATCAATTAGTAAAACTGGACCAATTAGTAATTTATCAATTAATATAACTGGATCAATTAGTAATGTATCAATTAGTAAAACTGGGTCAATTAGTAATGTATAAATTATTATAACTGGATCAATTAGTAATGTATCAACTAGTATAACTGGATCAATTAGTAATGTATAAATTAGAAAAACTGGACCAATTAGTAATTTATCAATTAGTATAACTGGATCAATTAATAATGTATCAATTAGTAAAACTGGATCAATTAATAATGTATCAATTAGTAAAACTGGATATATTAGTAATGTATCAATTAGTAAAACTGGATCAATTAGTAATGTATATATTAGTAAAACTGGACCAATTAGTAATTTATCAATTATTATAACTGGATTAATTAGTAATGTATACATTAGTAAAACTGGACCAATTAGTAGTTTATCAATTAGTATAACTGGATCAATTAATAATGTATCAATTAGTAAAATTGGACCAATTAGTAATGTATCAATTATTATAACTAGATCAATTAGTAATGTACCAACTAGTAAAACTGGCTCAATTAGTAATGTATAAATTAGTAAAACTGGATCAATTAGTAATTTATCAATTATTATAACTGGATCAATTAGTAATGTATCAACTAGTAAAACTGGCTCAATTAGTAATGTATAAATTAGTAAAACTTGACCAATTAGTAATGTATCAATTAGTATAACTGGACCAATTAGTAATGTATAAATTAGTAAAACTAAATTACCAATTAGTAATTTATCAATTAGTATAACTGGATCAATTAGTAAAACTTGATCAATTAGTAATATATCAATTAGTATAACTGGATCAATTAGTAATGTATAAATTAGTAAAACTGGACCAATTAGTAATTTATCAATTAGTATAACTGGATCAATTAGTAATGTATCAATTAGTAAAACTGGGTCAATTAGTAATGTATCAATTATTATAACTGGATCAATTAGTAATGTATCAACTAGTATAACTTGATCAATTAGTATTGTATAAATTAGTAAAACTGGACCAATTAATAATTTATCAATTAGTATAACTGGATCAATTAATAATGTATCAATTAGTAAAACTGGATCAATTAGTAATGTATAAATTAGTAAAACTGGACCAATTAGTAATTTATCAATTAGTATAACTGGATCAATTAATAATGTATCAATTAGTAAAACTGGATCAATTAATAATGTATCAATTAGTAAAACTGGATCAATTAGTAATGTATCAATTATTATAACTGGATCAATTAGTAATGTATCAACTAGTATAACTGGATCAATTAGTAATGTATAAATTAGTAAAACTGGACCAATTAATAATTTATCAATTAGTATAACTGGATCAATTAATATTGTATCAATTAGTAAAACTGGATCAATTAGTAATGTATAAATTAGTAAAACTGGACCAATTAGTAATTTATCAATTAGTATAACTGGATCAATTAATAATGTATCAATTAGTAAAACTGGATCAATTAATAATGTATCAATTAGTAAAACTGGATCAATTAGTAATGTATCAATTAGTAAAACTAGATCAATTAGTAATGTATATATTAGTAAAACTGGATCAATTAGTAAAACTGGATCAATTAGTAATGTATCAATTAGTAATGTATCAATTAGTATACCTGGATCAATTAGTAATGTATCAATTAGTAAAACTGAATCAATTAGTAATGTATCAATTAGTAAAACTGAATCAATATCACACAAAATATTTTTTTGATATTATTATTGTGAGCACACATACGTGAAATTAACATCTTACATGCCCTTACATGTGTCGAGACTGAGCATTAATTTGAATTGTGAAATGACAAAAATATCTTT